ATATGGGAACTGATAGCTGCAATGCAAAAAGTATTTCGCTGTCCAGAAACTCTGTTCTGTTCATGCTGCGTTCGTTCTGTGTTCATTCGTTATGTGTTCGTTCGTTTTGTTTTCCTTCGTTCGTTCTGTGTTTGTTCGTTCTATGTTCATTCGTTCTGTGTTCCTTCATTCTGTGTTCATTCGTTCTGTGTTCGTTCGTTCTGTGTTTGTTCGTTCCATTTCATTCGTTCTGTGTTCCTTCATTCTGTGTTCATTCGTTCTGTGTTCATTCGTTAATTATTAATTAATTGGGGATTAAAACAGTAATTGTACTTATCGTTGATGTCTTGCCCTATTAGAAATCTTTTAGATCATGGAATTATTCTACTAGATTCAAACCTGGATTTATGCAAAAGTACAAAAGAATTCTTAATTGTATTAAGCTGGCTGGCAGTCAAACCAATGCTTTCTCTAGACACCCTTTTCAGATCATAAAAACAGCGCCGGTTTGAGCTAACTTTCCGCTCGTTTCGTGTCCCTGCTCCTTTCCTGTTTACCTGCTTCCCAATTGCCCTCTTGAACACCTCACCTGAAGAGCTGTTTCCGGGAATCGGTTTTCCTTGCAAGGTCAACTTGTCTGCACAGTAGTACGAGGCGGCCAGCTGAAATTTTAGAGGATAAAATATGCAAATATTCATCTATGGTCGTCTAAGCCAAAACGTCTAAGCCGTTCGTTTAACATTTTTGGTCAATTGGGCAAAAAAGAGGTGAGCAAAGAGGTTTTGGATTAATATCAATGCTTTATCTATCATCGTCTTGGGGAAATGGTGAAGTGATTTGATTACTGGTTTCCACCGGATCACAATGCAATGTTTTTGCCGGCATAGAGCTCTTGGTCTTCCTTTGTATTTTGACCGAAAATTGGGGATTAAAACAGTAATTGTACTTATCGTTGATGTCCGAAAATAGCTTTTACCACAAAACGCAAGTCTGATAATGCAATGGGATAGAATCATCAAAAAATACATATTCCTTTAAAGCTAGACGGGAACTGATAGCTGCAATGCAAAAAGTATTTCGCTGTCCAGAAACTCTGTTCTGTTCATGCTGCGTTCGTTCTGTGTTCATTCGTTATGTGTTCGTTCGTTTTGTTTTCGTTCGTTCGTTCTGTGTTTGTTCGTTCTATGTTCATTCGTTCTGTGTTCCTTCATTCTGTGTTCATTCGTTCTGTGTTCGTTCGTTCTGTGTTTGTTCGTTCTATGTTCATTCGTTCTGTGTTCCTTCATTCTGTGTTCATTCGTTCTGTGTTCATTCGTTCTGTGTTCGTTCGTTCTGTGTTCATTCGTTCTGTGTAACTAGAATTATTAAAAAGTACTCAGTGAGTGATTCCCGGTACAAAGCTTGCATTATATCAAGCAGTTCCATATTTGTATCTGCATCTCCTTTTAGGTGAATCTGTATGGAAATGCGAACATGATCTCCTATAATCCGTACGCTAAACGACTCTATACTTACGATCATGGTTATCTCCTCACAATGCCTGCTCATTTACGATGGTTATCGAAATGAAATGAAAGAATTACTTTTTGCTATAAATTTTTGAAAAAAAATTTGAGACAAACATTTTATTGTCACACTCGATTTCTGACACACAAAATACAATGGGGAAAAGAGGCTATAAACAAAAAATTTCAAGAAAAATTATACTATAAAGAGGTAAAAACGTAAACCACATGTAGCTGGTTCAGTAAAGCTTTACAACAAAAATTCTATTACTTTTTTTGATAAGAAAACTGTTAAAGTTACAACCACCCAAGCACCGGCCACTGATTATTTACGTTTTTAGCTTTGCTATTAAAACTGTGAACTGTTTCAAAGCTGATCACTCAACTACAGTTATTGTTTCATCTGTGCTTGTTGAAGTGTTATCGTTGAAACTTGTCTTGTCTCATCCATTCCATTTGTTCTTTCTTCAGATGTCTCAATGATTGGTGAGTGAAGCATTCCTAAAAGTTCAGTTAAATCTTTAACAGAGAGATCTTTTAACAGAGAGATCTAACAGAGAGATCTAACAGAGAGATTCTTGAAGAATTCATTGTCATCGGTCTTGAATCTGTCATCTGTCATTTTTATTTGAAACAACCTTGAGTACTGTGCACGCATTGATCGGTTTGAACTCGGTGGCGCCCATTTCATGAAAAATAATCTCCAAATTATTTGTCCGCGTAAATAAAAGGCATCGACGACGATACTAAAGACAACTTTTCTGGATAAATTTGTCTAGCAAAAACTGAACTGAAAATCTTTCCTTACCTGATAATGTCGATTACACTCATGTTTCAATTGATGAGCCAATTTTCTACGGCTTGACACCTAAATTGGTTCAATTCGGTAAAGATAAAGATCGGTAAAGTAAAGAGGTAAAGTAAAGATGGCACCTGTTTAAAGAAATGCCCGTAAACGGTTTTCAAAACGATTTGACACGCCTCACATCGTTCACTCGGCGTCAACGAGTCGGCTTCTTGTGAGCTCTAAAGTGAGGCTATAATTGAAGGATTTTAAACTAGTATTGCCATTGGCTAACATTAAATCTTAATAAGGGGGCTTTTAAAAACTTTTGGATCAACAAAATTTAGAAAAGAGTTCAGAAAATTACCGAAGATTGGCTTACAACAGTCGACACAGCTAGTAGAAAGGTACAGAAAATTGGGAAGAAATTTCCGGGAATCGATTTCATAGAGATTTTCCCTGGGTGTGTGCCTTGCTTTGATGATTGAAAATTGGGGAGAAAAGAGAGAGAAAGATCAGTTCAGTACGGGGGGAGGAAGAAGAGAGGAAGAAGAGAGGAAGAAGAGATCCACTCACAGTCCAATCTCTCGTCATTTTCATTTTTTTTCCATTAGAAAAAGTAAAAGGAAAACTTTTGTAAGAGGATTTAGCAAGTTCAAGGTCAAGTAACTGGAATTTGAAGGACAACAATAACAAGCTTACAGTAGTAAAGATGCTAGATGATAATGATGTTAAAGATGCTAAAGATTACAGTAGTAAACTTATCGATTGACCATGTTCTTATCAACATTTTGCCGTAAATTGAGCTAGCTACTAATACAATTAACTCAATGAAAACCTGGAAAATCGGCTCTAGAATGACTGTTCTGCTCTAGGGTCCAAAGAGCCAAAACCCAAACTTTCAATTTTTCTTCTCAAAGATTATCTTACTGGACTTGGTGGATATGCGCCATTCGCACAAATTGGTACCAAATCGACCTGGAAATCTCAAAATTTAAAGCAACTTAAGGAAACGCACTTGAAAAGTCACTTCCGATTGCGTAGAAATTGCGAGCAAAAGTAGGAAAATGTTCACGGTGAGGAGCATTTTTTGGCAAATCACACGATTTTAGATGAAACGTATTGCTCGGATCCTCAAATAGTGGCTTTTTATGGTAACACATAATGAAATTTCACACAATTTTCTATTTTTATTTCATCACAATCCTTTCTTTTTTGTTTTCAGCTTGCTGAATTAAGTTTTCCCGACTTTTATGATGTGATCTTCTATTTTTGTCCGTTATTTTCTGTTCTATTTTGATACATGCATCTACAGCAAACGGTGAATTAGAAACAGTAAATCGACCATAACACAAACGATTTTTTCTATTGAAAAACCCTATCTTTTTTTACAAAATGATTCTCACGTGTTTTAAAAAGCGCTTATTTTGAGCCATTTCAAGAGGCAAAAAAGAAAAAAAAGTTAAATTGTCAAATTCATAGAAACGATTTGATCCCTGGCTAATATCCCTAGCTAATAAAAAAAAAATAATGAGTAAGAGATACAAATACATAGTACTCACATTGTACTGTTGTACAGTAACTTGTAACTAGCTGACCAATATTTATTTGCTCCTTTATTTATTTGCTCGTTTTTTTGTCATTTCAATAAATTTTTCACAATCGAGACAATAAATCGACCATAACACAAACGATTTTTTTCTTGTATATTTCAGAGATCTTGTATATTTCATTCAGCAATAGACTACTGAAAATTTATGGCATTTATGGCAACCTTAAACTTCTAACTTCTTTCTTTTCACCTCAGGTTTTGGTTTCTTTTCTAAGATCCTCATGAAAATGTCGTCAGAGTGAAATTCTTTTCCATAAGCTGAGAAGACAACGGGCGCAATTAGGATAGTCGAGATACAGATCATCCCAGTCACAATGGCTGCCGTTTGACGCATTTGGTAAACCTGGATGGATGGAATGAATGGGTCAGCTGATTTGAGTTGATTTTAGATTTCTTTAATGGTTTAGTTTATCTTTTTCATCAAATCATTAGTGAAAAAGTTAACGACGACGCGCGTGTACTGCTAGTGTACTGTGAGAGTACTGCTAAAAGTGTACTACTAAAAGTGTACTACTAAAAGTGTATTACTAAAAGTGTACTACTAAAAGTGTACCGCTAGTGTACTGCTAGTGTACTGCTAGTGTACTTCTGGTGTACTTCTAGTGTACTTCTAGTGTACTGCTACAGCCTTTTCCCTCATTTTTACCCGTTTCACTTCCGGATGACAGATCGCCATGTATCGATCAAAACCTAGAGCTGTTAGGATGAAAGAGGAACAGATCTAGAATCATTGTTGGAGATGGTTGCTTTCGAGTTAAAACCTTACTCGAAAGCTCCAAAAGAAAGTAGACTTTACAAGCGAGTTGCCCGAAAATCCAATTCTCTAGCACCATCACTGAAATTTGAAGCAATCTCAAAAACTGTTTGAAGCAATCTCAAAAACTGTTTGAAGCAATCTCAAAAACTCATCTACCTGATAAATGAAATGGAATTGACATTGTGACCAAAAGATCGACTCCCGACAAAACGACCATGTAGACGAATGTGTTTCCCAAAGCAGTGACTGAGGATCTACTTGATCTTTGCAAAAATCTTTCATCTTTCTCTCAGTCGTGACTTCATCAAGAGTCATTAGGCTTAGGCTTAGGCATAGACTCAGGCTTGTGATCCTGGCCTATCCTTGAACAAAGTCTACAACAAACAGAATGCAGTTGATGAACTTAATCGGTATTTATTCCAGAACGGGTAGAAAGCGAGTAGCTGACATGATGGACGAGTTGTGTATCGAGATGATGTCGAGGAGTGAGGAGGCGCCGAATTGTGTTTGCCCGAGTTCGAAATAAATACCTTTTATTCACGAATCATTTGAAAAACCTTGAGAAAAACTAAATGGAGAGGTGTGCTTTGTGTTTGTAAATGGAAGCACATTCTTTCTAGAGCACTTGACCCTTTTCAATGTTGATTTTGATTGAAAAACAAAGTATCCCTTAAATTTCCCTTAAAATCAGTCAAAATTGAGGAAATAAACTCTATAAACTATAAATAAACTCTGCCTCGATCTCGATCTCTATGCCTCGATCTCGATACATAACTCGTCCATCGTGTCATCTACTCGCTTTGTACCCGTTCTGGAATAAATACCGATTATTCAAGTTCATCAACTGCATTCTGCTTGTTGTAGACTTTGTTCAAGGATAGGCCAGGATCACAAGCCTGAGCCTGAGTCTATGCCTAAGAGGGTACTTACTTCGATACTGTACTTTGGGGTACTGTACTTTGAGGAATTATGTCTCAGGAGAAGCACTATCCCGTCAACTATTTAAATTATTTAAAAATAGTACTTGCAAAACCCTGTTGCTTTGCTCATAGCTTTGCCGTTGAAGCTGTTGAAATTTGGATATGAAGATTTCTCCAAAAAAACTTTTCTCCAGTTTCTATGCGCCATGGTTGTCGATAGGAGACCGACTTACTACAAGACTTTTCGACTTAGAGACAAGTGAGGATAGAGAAGTCTGATAAAAAACACTTTTGCTTGATTTTTCATGGAAAATCCGACAGCTTCTCCTTGTCCTGAAAATTTGAAATCATTCATTTAAAACCTGTGGATTTTACATGGTAAAAAAATAAAGCCAAAATCTACTGGTTTTCCATTGGATTTTTTTGCTATTACTAAGCTAATTAAAAATTTGATTTTTAATTAATTTCAATTGTTTTTTGTATAACACTCAGCTTTGAGTCAAAGCTGAGTGTATAACACTCAGCTTTGAGCTTTGAGTTTAAACTAATAGTTTAAACTCAAAGCCAAGGTACTGTGCTGTAAAAAAATTGCTAAGCCCAGCATTTCCCTCACTAACCCTGACTCGATCGGTCGTTGCTTAATTAGGCCCTGAAAGCTATTCTTTGCTTAGAAGCTTTTTTTCTTTTCACTTACATCTCGATCCTTTTGCATGTCGAATGTAGTCACAAGATGCTTTGAGGATCGTCCCTTTGTTCAGCTTCATCTCTCTAAATTCGGCTCGTGACAACGCGAAGTAAATATTTAGAGGTATGGCCCAAAGTGTGACCGTGGCTATCCCTCATTCTCCTTCGGTACAAATTGTCGTCACTCGTGTCGTTGTGTTCGCGAGAACACACAAGTTTGTAATTCAAAGGTTAGCCAAAACTTTCCTTCTTTGATCTTTTGATTTTAGACTGAAAGTGCAAGTGTAAAGCCGGTTTCTACGGGCCTTTCTGCAGAAGACCGTGTCTTTTCGGTTTTTTATGAACTTTGGTGAGAAAAGTTGTCAAACTTTACATTCTATCTGTCTTTCCAATCACCTAACTAGCAAGAATCAAAGCAAGGCAAGCAATTTAGTGTGCAAAGAAATGTTCATGTCCAGATGGGACTCAATGTAATCCTTCTGATGGAGAATACTCGCCCGAATGCGCGCCTGGTTTTGTTGGAGCCGATTGTTTACGGAGCTGGAGAGCTGTTTTTAGAATTCAACTATTATTTGTAGACCTAGTTTTAGACATAGATTGACTCTTTTAAGTTTTCACTTGTAGCGTGCATTCCCGGTCGAGGAGCGTAAACATGGAGCGATTTGTGACTCAAAGAATGGAACCTGTGAATGTCCACCTGGATATTACGGAGCAACTTGCTCGGAAAGTTGGGCTTGTCGCTTTATAATAATTTGTAAGCAAACTATAATTCAACCATTTCTCTTCAGTTTGCCCCGCAGGCCGTTACGGGCAAGAGTGCATGCGCATTTGCAATTGTCACAATGGGGCCAAATGTAGTCCAGTAGATGGAAGGTAATCTTTCACAGATGTTATTAAGAATTTATCGAATCAATTGCGTAAAAATGTGAACATATGTGAACATAATGAAATTAGTAAATCTATTATCAAAAACTCCCGTTATAAGTCGCATAGTACAGTGTCTTTGAAAACAAATCCCAGCTGCACGTGTCAACACGGTTATACCGGGCAAAGCTGTGAGATTGGATGTCCTCGGGGTACTTTTGGAGACAATTGCTCAAAGGTGATCTATCTAAATCCATTTATGATTTCCCAAAACAATTTCAAAACATTCAGGCTAGCCTACCTATAAAACAACAATATTCTAGCAATGTGAATGTGTCGATCATATGACGTGTGATCGTGTGATGCAGTGGACGGGGAGTGCATTTGCCCGCCCGGGAAAAGAGGACAAGATTGCTCTGATAATTTAAATCTAAAAAGAATATCTAGCCTAAATATCTAATGTCTATGCTTTATATTCAAGACTTTATGACTAAAAATCTCTTCAGAAAACTGCTTTAAAGCTGCCTTATATGTTGTCGACAAGAACAAATGGCATCTTTCTACCCTTTTATGTCTTTCTATCTTTCTAACTTTCTATCTTTCTATCTTTCTATCTTTCTATCTTTCCATATCTTTCTAATCGATTCCCTAAGAAAGATAATCTTGAAAGATAATCTTGAAAAATAAGCAATGGCAGTTTCAGTCAACTCTTATAATTATAATTTTGATAATCCTTTCATTTAAACAGCTAAAACTTTCCGAACAAATGGATTTTTATATCTTTCTATCTTTCTATCTTTAGATGTTCACTGTGAACCACAAAGGCGCCTGGTTGTCAACTGTGAACTAATGGCGCATAGGTGTCCACTGTGAACAATAATAACGCCTAGATGTCAACTGTGAAAAGCAAAGGCGCCTAGTTGTCAACTATGAGCAAGCAAGCAAGTTGAACGAGAATCGCCCCTAGAAGTCAACTGTGAACAAATGGCGCCCAGTCCCTGTAAACAACAATTTCGCCAAGATTTCAACTGTGAACAAGACTCGCCCTATTTTCCATATCTTTCTAATCGAATTTCGAGTAGAAAGATATGGAAGGGTTTTAATTAGATTTTCTATCTTTCTACCTTTCCATATCTTTCCGATCGATTCCGTATCTTTCTAAGTGTCGCAAAATTGCTTGTTGTTTTATCATAAAACTCCAGCTTTCCATAAATCCGACCGCTTTTGAAAACTTTAAACTTTAAGCCCCTTTAAAGCTCCTTTATAGTCCCTATTTAGCTCCTGTAAAGCTTCTCTAAAGCTCCTATAAATCTACTTAATAAGAACTTACTCATCCACATGTTCCACGCGAACAAAATAGGGGTAGCTTGAATCTTTTGAATCCACTCCTTGATGAATCTTAAGATTTCTTGGGCCAAAGTTCTAAATTTCAAAGGTTTGTTTAAAAATGTTAAAATAAAAGTGCGTTGTGTTAAGTTTATTATTTGTGCAAGCTGACATACCCAAAAAGTTGGGTCCACGCTCGTTTTGCCGCAGTCAAACTCTGGAAAAGGAAAAATCGATCTAATAGGCTATGCTTTACTACCCCTTTTGGGTCCTTGGCTCTTGTTTATTCCAAGTGTTTGGATTAAATCTCGCGCCCTAGGGCAAAATCCGTCAATGCCGTTGGCTTCGTGATAGTAAAAAACATTTTCAAATAGAACTGTGTTATTGGGTCGAGAATCATCAACGATACCGGTCGTTCCAAAGTTCCCGAGTTGCCTTAAAATTTTTGCGGTTAAAATTACCGTAGCTCTAAGCAGAAAATCCTTAGCTCTAATCAGAAAATCCTACCCGTTTTTAGAAAAAAAGAGCAAAACTTTTTGGTAGCCCGGAGATTCCCTTCCGATTTTATTCAAATCTCCAAAGAGCCACGGAAGCTCATCTGAATGCGATGCGTAAACACATGTTAACTAATTGCCGACCATCAAATTATTTGACATTTCAAAAAATTAAAAACGCACGCTGATTTTGATTCCAAGATGGGGCCGCCAAAGTCGCGTTATAGGTGTAAACAAAAAGCGAAGGAGGCACCCTAGCACTTCTCAGTTTTTCGACTTCGGTGACTATGGGAACATGAAACACAAGGTCGGTCATTGACTAAATTGGATAAACATATTCCAAACTAGACTACGTTACGTTGACCACGACTTCAAACCAAAACCATTGTTCGGCTGTGATCGCTCCGTCTTGCCCATGTACTTTGCAAACAGATTTTCTAAATGATTTGGAAAAATTTCTTGGAAGCGACAGACCAAAAAACGCCCATTCGCCGGTGGTGAGGCCAATCAAAAAGTCATGTCCACGGCTTGATCTATCCATTGATTGGTGACCAGATTTGGGAAAGTAATACCCATCGGCAAACAAAACCCAATTTTTTTCCTGCTTTTGGAAAACGAGTAAAATCTTTCTCTAAAGTCTCGAAACGAGCTGGGTCAAGAGAATGCTAACGGGTAAACGAATCTAACCAGATCGATTTGCTCTAGCGCCTCCAGAGGGGCGTTTGCAAGGCATCTGTAAAGAAGCTCCTCAAAGTGCTTGTCGTAGGGGTCGTACAAGTTGGCGTTGCAAAGCTAAATGTGAGATTTTTCGCAACAAGGACGAAGGCACTTCTTGAGCCGCAGTGGCACTTGGGGACGCCGGACTTCCAGTCCCGTTAAAGCAAATTTCCAAAACACCTGACATCAGTATTACTCGCTTGAAAAGTGCTAAAGCTACCTTTTTATTTAAAAAAAGTAAAATGCCTTGTCACACATTTTCTGAAAGCTCTTTTCAAGGGCTACACAATGATAATATTAATATTTAGAAATACGGTATAGACAAGTGAGTTACAGACGCGGGAAAGTGACGATCTTTTTTAAAACATGAGATTTCATTGTCCAGTAGTGTAGATACGCGTAAAACCATTCTACTAAGCGAGTAAATAAAGATAGATAAAAGATACGCATTCTATGCACTCATTCTAGGAACTCGAGGAGATCTTGGCGAAGAATGGCGCCCACCAAAAAGCTTCCTCCACTCCCAGCCATCCCCTCCGCTCCTCGACCAATCAAACAGGAGATCGAAGAGAGTCGAAATCAAACCCCATGGGATCACTTGTAAGTGATCGCTTCTCTTCAACTCTTCTCTTGTCGAGAAGACTCACAATCAATCGGCTCCCGATTGGGTACTAAAAAATCAGCAATTCTTTTCGGAAACTAGTACTAGGACCCCTAAATTTATGTTTGTCCTTATTTTAGTCCTCATCGGGTTTTATGTCACAACTCTCTGACACGACGTCTGCGATGGCGATCGCCTCGCCGCTAGGATGTATTCACCATGGGTCCGATCAAGTCTTTGGCTCAAGTCCACAGTCATCAGACGCCACAATGGAGGTGGAGAAGTTATAGATATATCAAACAAGACTTTGTCTAATTATATTCTATTGATTGTTTACAGTATTCAGATAAAGTTAGTGTCAAATAGAAGCAGAAAGTGGTCGAATTTGGTTGCAAAGTAGAAGCTACAGTAGCTTATTGTAGAAGTAGTAGCAGTAGAAGTAGAAGCAAAGTAGTAGAAGTAGAAGTAGAAGCTACAGTAACTTATTGAAAAACAGTAGAAGATTACTGTATCAAATACTTGCCTTTTCTATTAGCTGGATACTGTAACAACCATTCAATAGCTTACAATTAGTTATTTAGTTTATAGTCAGTAAGTATTCAATATCTAGTTTCTAATAGTATTTCTAAATAGTTCCAACATTTGCCGATGCCGCCCCGACAGCCACAAAGGGACGCACCACGGGCCATTCCCCGATTTGATCATCGAGTCGTGTCTTGAGGTAGAATTGAGATAATAGATAAAAACAATATATCATTCTATTTAGGGCCCGTCGCCAAACCTTGCCGCCAGTCAGATGAGCGCCGATATCTCGTGGGATCCATCGAATTTCAGGTATGATGAAAAGAAAATGGGATATATTGTATCCAATGTACGATACTTTTGTATTACGAATATGTACGATACTTTGCTCCCTAGAAGTCGAAAATCTTGATTAAGCTTTGTTTAGATCATCCTGAAGCTTCAATGGGCACTTACCACAGGCTATACAGTCAATAGCGTTTAAGTCCAAGGATACTGTAGCTCAAGAGTACTGTAGCTCAAGGATACTGTAACCCTAGAGCACAACAGTCCAAGAATACTATAGCTAGGGATATTGTAACCTTTGAGTACTGTAGTCCGAGATACTGTAGCTGAATATTTCTTGTATGTTTATGCAGTATGTTTAGAAGTTGTTTCCAGGGCCCTTGGGGAGCATTTGTCAAGCTATTTAGAAGATATCGGATATTTAGAGGATATCTAATATTTCAATTTTCCCCTAAAAGTCTCAATTCTTCGATTTTCAGCCCCGACGGGAACACCCAGCCGATGCACGCCAATCAAGGAAGAAAGCAAACGGCATGTGGAATGGCTCAGCATTCAGTTTAAAAGACTCAGACTCACTCAGGGACCCGAACTCGGGTTGTTTTCCCACCGATTGAGCCATTTCTTCCCTTTCTCCCACCATTCTCTCTCGGGTCCACAATCAACAGGAACGATTTTATTTCTTTTTCATTTCTTTTTGTCATTATTTTGATCATTTGATTGGTTCATTTGATTTTATTGGTAACTCTGGATCGATTGGAAAATCATCCTCACATCTATCATTGGATATCTCAAATTTCCATACAAGTTAACAGATGTTTAATTGACGCCTGGCTTAGCCTAGGATCCTAGTCTGACTCCATTGAAGCATTGGAGGCTAGTCTGACTCCATTGAAGCATTGAAGGCTAGTCTGGCTCCAGCCTAGTCTAGCTCCAGCCTAGTCAGGCTCCAGCAGCCTAGTCTAGCTCCAGCAGCCTAGTTTGGCTCCATCAGCCTAGTCTGGCTCCAGCCTAGTCTAGCTCCAGCAGCCTAGTCTAGCTCCAGCCTAGTCAGGCTCCAGCAGCCTAGTCTAGCTCCAGCAGCCTAGTCTGGCTCCAGTAGCCTAGTCTGGCTCCAGCCTAGTCTAGCTCCAGCAGCCTAGTCTAGCTCCAGCCTAGTCAGGCTCCAGCAGCCTAGTCTGGCTCCAGCAGCCTAGTCTGGCTCCAGTCTAGTCTAGCTCCAGCAGCCTAGTCTAGCTCCAGCAGCCTAGTCTGGCCCCAGCCTAGTCTGGCTCCAGCAGCCTGGTCTGCCTCCAGCCTAGTCTACCGTAATCCTGATCTGTTTGACCTAGGCTGGCCTAATCCATCCAATCACCGATAAATTTTCGTTATACTTATAATTTCGCTATCAACTACATATGATTATTTTGATTTTCATTATTGATCATTATTTTGATTGGCTCCAGTAGCCTAGTCTGGCTCCAGCAGCCTAGTCTAGCTCCAGCCTAGTCAGGCTCCAGCAGCCTAGTCTAGCTCCAGCAGCCTAGTCTGGCTCCAGCCTGGTCTGGCTCCAGCCTAGTCTGGCTCCAGCCTAGTCTGGCTCCAGCCTAGTCTAGCTCCAGCAGCCTAGTCTAGCTCCAGCCTAGTCAGGCTCCAGCAGCCTAGTCTAGCTCCAGCAGCCTAGTCTGGCTCCAGTAGCCTAGTCTGGCTCCAGCCTAGTCTGGCTCCAGCCTAGTCTGGCTCCAGCCTAGTCTAGCTCCAGCCTAGTCTAGCTCCAGCAGCCTAGTCTAGCTCCAGCCTAGTCTAGCTCCAGCCTAGTCTACCGTAATTCTGGTCCAGCAGCCTGGTCTGCCTCCAGCCTAGTCTGCAGTAATCCTGATCTGTTTGACCTAAGCTGGCCTAATCCATCCAATCACCAATAAATTTTCGTTATACTTATAATTTCGCTATCAACTACATATGATATGCTATTTGTGGCCTGTTCGTCGATTCCCAGTGTGCGTGCGTGTGTGTATTTCCGAAATTCCTTTTTTGATAAATCCCCTTCGAATCAATTCATCATCATCAAAAGCAAGAACAACAAACCGTGTACATTCTATCCCGTGAATTTGCTGTTCTATTTCAAATTTCATTTTACTATTCGAGTCGTAAATTATTCCTTTTATACAAAAATTTCCATTATGCCTTGTGTTTTTTTCTCTGATACGTTCAAAAAAAGCTGAGAAATTTCTAATAGGCGCATATGTTTCTTTTTCGAGTTTCTTTTCATTTTCTTTTCATTTTTTCATTTTTTTTATTTTTGGGGATTTTAAATGCGGTTTTTTTTGTTTTGTTTACTATGTTTTATTTGTTTTATTCATCAAATGTGAAGGTGATTTGGGATTTCGACTTTACTCTTTCGAAAATTGCAAAGTACACCTTCTGGCACAGCGAATTCTTCATAGTTTTTTTTGTTTTATAAACTGCTCGTTTTTGCAAGAAGACTAGTGCACGAGAAGTAGTGCGTTTACGAGCACAAAATGAAGCTGAAGGCGAATTTACAGCTATAGAAAGATTCTAAGTGCTATAGAAAGAAGAGCTATAGAAAGATTCTCCATCTAACGCGTTTGGCACTGATTTCAAACTGTAAACTCATAATATAGTTTACAAGTATTGCTTTTACTTCATAAATTATCTAGATCACAATCCCAAGGTCACCCTAAAATTGATGATTCTGTATATTTATGGAAAAAAAATGCTTCTATTAAAATTGCTTTGTGTGAAAGAAACGACGAGGCCGGGCGGAGAGACAGGCAAAGTCTGCAATCATATTCATGCAATCATATTTCATTCGTTTGACTGTCCTTTCAGCCGGTCTAAACGTCCCAATTGATTCGCATTCACCCCCGTTCCCTAATTCTGAATTCTATATAGGCATTCGCTTGTCTCATCCCTCCTCTTCCCTCTCTTCCTCTTCCCTCATCTTCCCTCGTCTTCCCTCTCTTTGCTTCCCTTCCCTCCTTCCCCAATCCATTCATCCATTCGATTCTTTTCTTTATTTCACAACACTGTATATAGACTTGGCTTTTGTGAAATAAAACTTTTAATTTTTCAAGATAACCGAATACACAGTTACACAAATCTAAGAGCAAATGACTGTACTCTACAGAATTGGATGGAATATCGTAAGCCGGTCTAAATCTTCACGATTGAGAGAATGTGATCAGATCCAGCTGTGATATCATACCAGCTAGTCAAGCTTACAGTAATCTCGATGACTACGGTGGAAAATATTTGGTACTGCGAGGCAGTAGCGTCGCGTAACTTGGTTACGGATTACGATGGTTTTCCATTGGATTTTACGCATGACGTGTTCTTTTAAAGTGCATTCTATTCGATACCCATCCCCTTTGGCACTCCAACTTTGAGCTCAAATATCTTAATGTTGGACTAGCCAATTTAAATATTCTGAATATCATCGGATGCATATGTAGATCGTATTGCCGTTCCTCCTTTTTCCTGTCCCGCTTACCGTACCTTTCCCCATTCGTGTCTTTTCTTGCCTCCGCGTCACCTGCTTTCCTTCAGCGATGGGCAACACGAGAGCTTCATATCCTATGTGGTATCTGTCTGTTTGTATCCTGTTTTTTCGGTGTCCTCTCATTTTTTCTTTAGATCAAAAACAAATGCGAAAAAGAGTCAATCCAAGTTCACGTCACGTCAATCTTCAATTTTCACGCCAATCCAAGCACTCCTTTCACTAATCTTTTCCCTTTCGCTAATCTTTTTTCTTTCAATAAGCTTTGATTTGTTCAGCAAAGCTTTGATTTGTTCACAAAGCTTTGATTTATTCAGCAAAGAACGCAAAACCCAATACTAGATTCTTTCTTGTTGTTGAAAATCAATAACATTCAAATCTTGATCAAGTGTAGGCTGGTCAATCAATCAATAATTTGTTCAAAAAATTTCCAGCTCTCAGATTTATTTTGGAAATTATTTTAATTCTTTTAATTGAGATGCTCAGCTCATTCAGGAATTTTTGTAAAAAAACCTTTGCAAATCTCATGATGCTTTCTATTTTGTGCGCTAACCTATCAAAATAAACTTTTTCTTTTCTTCATTTTCTTGTCTTCAAATCTTCATTGTCAAGTCTCCAATAGATCACAAGATTCCCCCAAAGATATAGTCAAAATTTCTTGATTTGTTCAGCAAAGCTTTGATTTGTTCACAAAGCTTTGATTTGTTCAGCAAAGAACGCAAAACCCAATACTAGATTCTTTCTTGTTGTTGAAAATCAATATTAGTGTTATACATTTTCTGAAAAGTCGTCACCTGCTTTCCTTCAGCGATGGGCAACACGAGAGCTTCATATCCAAACAGGAACGAAACAACTTGACTTGTGTGCTTTTTGAAAATCTGTTATTGTCGCAAAATTCGTACTTTCTGAACTTCGTACTACTTCGTACTACATTTTCTGAAAAGTCGTCACCTGCTTTCCTTCAGCGATGGGCAACACGAGAGCTTCATATCCAAACAGGAACGAAACGACTTGACTTGTGTGCTTTTTGAAAATCTGTTATTGTCTCAAAACTCGTTAAAGATTGGCCCGATTCGCCAAATTCGTGCAGGTCTCCGCCTCGATTCGATCGATGATCGTCCAGTTCCGCTACATTTCGGGGTAATAAAGCTTTTCCTGAATTGATAAATTCCAGATTTTTCCTGTGATAAAGCAAGATTCCGTTTCAGAGGTACGAAGTGGGACAGCGACCATCTGGAAAAAAGATATTACATCCCCTTTTGCACCCCAACTTTGAGCTCAAATATCTTAATGTTGGACTTTTCAATTTAAATATTCTGAATATCATCGGATGCATATGTAGATCGAATTGCCATTCCTCCTTTTTCCTATCCCGCTTACCGTGCCTTTCCCCATTCATGTCTTTTCTTGGCTCCGCGTCACCCGCTTTCCTTCAGCGATGGGTATCCTATTTTTTCGGTGTCCTCTCATTTTTCTTTAGATCAAAAACAAATGCGAAAAAGAGTCAATCCAAGTTCAGGTCACGTCAATCTTCAATTTTCACGCCAATCCGAGCACTCCTTTCACTAATCTTTTCCCTTTCACTAAGCCTTGATTTGTTCAGCAAAGCTTTGATTTGTTCACAAAGCTTTGATTTGTTCAGCAAAGAACGCAAAACCCAATACTAGATTCTTTCTTGTTGTTGAAAATCAATAACATTCAAATCTTGATCAAGTGTAGGCTGGTCAATCAATCAATAATTTGTTCAAAAAATTTCCAGCTCTCAGATTTATTTTGGAAATTATTTTAATTCTTTTAATTGAGATGCTCAGCTCATTCAGGAATTTTTGTCAAAAAAAACTTTGCAAATCTCATGATGCTTTCTATTTTGTGCGCTAACCTATCAAAATAAACTTTTTCTTTTCTTCATTTTCTTGTCTTCAAATCTTCATTGTCAAGTCTCCAATAGATCACAAGATTCCCCCAAAGATATAGTCAAAATTTCTGTTTTTCCTTCCTTTCACCGTCCACAAATCTTTTGCATTCTTTTTCTCATTTCTCACTTTTTTAATCCTCTATTTTACGAAGCTTTTTTCTTCTATATTCACAAAAAAATTTGCAGAAGGATCGAATGGGTAAAAGAATTGTGGTGTCATTTTTCATCCTTTTCATCTCTACACAACATCTTTACAGAAGCAGCTCCACGAGTTTGTTTTAAATCTTAAAGAAATCGTTTGACGATAATGATTAAGTGGCTGAGTTTAGCTTACAATGATCTTTTAATCAATAAATCTTTGTAATCTTGGTAATCTTGTTTTACTAGCATTTATAACATTGAAATGACAAAAGCACAAATTCCTTTAAATAGGAAATGTTTTCCATTCACTTTTCTATCATTTCAACCCGATTTTAGTCTATTTTAGTCTTCCAAGTGACTTTAAGTGTAAAGAAACCAATTTCTTTGTAAAATTCGATAAAAACCTCTATAAAGGAATCGGTTGAACAGATATTCTCAAAATTCGGCCATAGTTGACATTGGCATTGACAATCATTGACAACAAAAGGTTTATGTAAATCATAAAACGCTTAAATTGGGTCTTCGCGCTGTCGCCTTTTTTTGACTATCCGACTTCATGCCTACATAAAAAACTATAGAATATAAACTTTATAATACTACACTAATGCTAAACTAAACTAATAATACTAAAAAAAATTTTCATAATATTTCTTGATTCTGTAGAAAATAGGCCTTTCTAATGCAGCAAGCATTAGATTAATTGATATTGGGTTGATGGAAAAGTTCTTTCCGGAAATTTGGGGAGTGTACCTTAAATTTGTCAAGTTTTGACGTTTTATAGCTTATGCTAAAGCTGAATCCAATACAGATCGATGGGTACAAAAGCCGCCTTGAGATATCTCTTTTTCTAAAAGATTTTACAGCTATTTTAGTAAAGTAAAGGCAGCAGAGCCAAAAAATGGATGTTTCCACGTTTTCAGAAAATGGCTTTTCGTTAGTTTTCCGTGCGAATTTGTTTCTCATTTCTAAATGCTAGTGGAATGATTTATATCATTTATAAATAAATCATTTATAGATAAATCATTTATATAAATACTTTATTCAGAAAGAAATAAAGTGCGAAAACGCATTAATAAAATCTATTATATTAGATAATTTGCATATCTAACTTTAATCGAACGAAAAATGAACCTGAGCTTGAACAAAACCCGAACAATCCCCAGGTCTTTCATTTGTTTTCCTCCAATCCTCCATCCAATACAATGGAAATTTCAAAGTCTAGACTCAAAATTGAATCTGTGACAATGCAATAATCTCTTCCCATTAGAAGCTTTCATTTTCTTTCTACCACAAGTCATTCCAGACGTGTTCCTTTAAATTAACACCTGTCTTTTTCTATACTTTCCATTACTGACGTCAATAATCTCTTCCTTTTTTCCTTCTTTTTACCATGTAAAATCCACAGGTTTTAAATTAATGATTTCAAATTTTCAGGACAAGGAGAAGCTATTGAATTTCACGAATTTAAGAGGTGGGTTTTTAGAGCAATTTTAATTTAAAATTTAAAGCAAATTAAAAAAGCAATTTGTATAAGAGAGTTTATTTTATTTGTATAAGATCTTATAGAGTTTGTATAAGAGATATTTTAAGATTTATTAACTTTAAAATATAGACGATTAAATGAAACAAGTTTCAGCTTAGTATTTTAAAAGTAAACAAAAACTAAAAATCTTTCAGTGTGTCGAGCAGAAAGATTTTCCACAGAAAAATGGGCTCCTTGTGCTTCGCTTAGAGTGAGTTGTGTGGTGCTAGATATCAGTGGTGCTTCGAAGGGTACCATAGCTTGTTCCGATATTAGTTGAGTAAGATAGATATTTTAAATGTTCCCATTCATCCTTTCAGTTCTTAATTGAGCTTCCAGCATCAAGATCTAAAATTAATGAATTAGGGATGTGGCATTCATAAAAATATAATCGCTGTATGCTTGACGAGGTCAACATTTGGTCGCACGTATTTTTTTCTGCCAATAAAACCCAATCAATAATTCAAAATTGCTCAATTTCCCATTTTCCATTCAATTATTGTTCTCTTTCGAACTATTGGCAGAGCCGTTGGCAGAAATAGCCTCTAAAAACTCGTTAAAGATTGGCCCGATTCGCCAAATTCGTCCAGGTCTCCGCCTCGATTCGATCGATGATCGTCCAGTTCCGCTACATTTCGGGGTAATAAAGCTCTTTCTGAATTGATAAATTCCAGATTTTCCTGTGATAAAGCAAGATTCCGTTTCAGTCTCGAGGAATCGGACAATAAGTGGTCAAAAAGCAAAATGAAAAAAGATGATTGAAATCTTTAAAGATAATCAATGACTTTTGCAGTCCTTCTTATAGAATCAGAGGAAAAGTTGAAAAAACTACAGAAACGGGTTTAAGAACAAGCATTAAGAACAAAAGCTAGAAGAAAAGGATAAGGTTGTAGAGTTGACATTGACAGAGATCTGTGACCACACATTTCAGAATCGGTGCATGGCCTTCACAATTCATCGCACAGGATCGGGGCAAACAATCGATCGAATCCCATTCATCGAACACCGCGACGACAACTCCAGCCATCGCCACCCATTCATCTGCCAATGCACAGCCCGCAACATGTTCGTTTTTGAAAACATTAATCTCTAATAATATTGAACTCTCGCCTTTCATGGTGATCTTTTTCTTCAATCTTTCTCGGTTCAAAGTCTTGATACCTTTGCTTACAATTATTATCGTGCTTGAGATGTACCCAGTGTCCTCAATTCTTCCTCCATTTTTTCCCTCCATTGGAAATTAGTTCCCTGGAAACAATTCATCTTCGTCTTAGAACAGAAATGGAGGGATATATGCTTTGGTTGATATATTGACGAGTCTGTAATAGTACCACAACCCCAGAATGACAGTGCGGAGTGTTGCGTAGTCTGTGCGGAGTGTTGCGTAGTCTAGCTTTAAAGGAAGGTGTATTTTTTGATCATTCTATCCCATTGCATTATCAGACTTGCGTTTTATAGTAAAAGCTATTTTCGGACATCAACGATAAGTACAATTACTGTTTTAATCCCCAATTTCGGTCAAAATACGAAGGAAAACCAAGAGCTCTATGCCGACAAAAACATTGCATTGTGATCCGGTGGAAACCAGTAATCAAATCACTTCACCATTTCCCCAAGACGATGATAGATAAAGCATTGATATTAATCCAAAACCTCTTTGCTCACCTCTTTTTTGCTCATTGACCAAAATGTTAAACGAACGGCTTAGACGTTTTGGCTTAGACGACGATGAATATTTGCATATTTTATCCTCTAAAATTTCAGCTGACCGCGTACTACTGTGCAGACAAGTTGACCTTGCAAGGAAAACCGATTCCCGGAAACAGCTCTTCAGGTGAGGTGTTCAAGAGGGCAATTGGGAAGCAGGTAAACAGGAGAGGAGCAGGGACACGAAACGAGCGGAAAGTTAGCTCGAACCGGCGCTATTTTTATGATCTGAAAAGGGCGTCTAGAGAAAGCATTGGCTTGACTGCCAGCCAGCTTAATACAATTAAGAATTCTTTTGTACTTTTGCATAAATCCAGGTTTGAATCTAGTAGAATCCCAGTGCCGATAATCCGGATTTCTACCGTGAAAAGAAGGACATTCACAATAGGAGTGAGTCCATTTCCCATTTCATTCATAATTATGAATCAAATCAGAGCACAAAATGATTTTTGGAATTGTCGATTTCTCTCTTTTTATTGATTCATCACTTTCTCGCTGAACAAATGCAAATGTTAATCATTCGTTGTCCGAATACGAAACATATATAAAAGAACTTCAGAAATGGACTAGAAAGAGTGTGTTTGAGCACAAAATACACTTGAAGAACACAACTTCTTTGAAACAACTTTGACTTTGAAACAAGAATTGAGTCTATTTTGATTATTTCGTCATTATTGCTAGCTTAAGTAAGCTAGCAAAAGATTTTTTTATTTTCGAAATCTCGAAAGACGACGAGACTTAAATGTCAGCTGCTCCTTAGGTGTGACAGCTGCTTGTTAGCTATGTCAGCTGCTTGTTAGGCGTTAAATCTTTCCATGTAGAGCTCCTATATCTTTGTGGGATGTGCTGTGGCCAGATATCTTTGTCAAGCAATTTTTATTATCAAAGTCATTATTATAAAGGTATCATGGTAAGCTTTCTGAGTGGTTTGATCCAATGAAAATTAACAATTAAACAGACAAACAGAAATTAAACCAGCTCCAAATTTTTGAATTCAGAAGCCCTCAACATTGAAATTTTAGCCTCAGTTTTTGAAATTTTCTATTTGCTACAAACACCTGAAGTTTTTGAGGCTTGTGATTTGCAGATTGAATTTGACTAAAATTAAGCTGATCAATTGAAAGCTGAACGTTCAAAGACGGTCACTTTCAAAACTAGGTGACATCTAGAAAAGAAATTAGTGAGAGAAGACTCTAGTACAAGAAGAAGTACAAGTACAAGCTACGAAGCTGAAGAATGGATAAAAGTAAGTTTATGCAAAGGTTGACAAAGATTGGATGGAGTCGAACTTCTCCAGGGAATAGAATTCAATGATCTGGATACCAATGAAAGCATTCTTTGGTGAATGATAATGTTTTAAATTTGGTTGACTGTTGTTGTAGCAAAATAGTCAAATAAATTGGCGTAAAACCTCTAATATACCTACATGTACGTTGATTTTTCAAATACCATCGAGTACCAAGATAATCACCGGATTTCTTTTGTTTTACAAAACTCGTAAACGCTTCTTGGCTTAATCAAATTTGTTTTAGTTGCAAAGAAGAAGTTTTCCTTGTCATTCTGCACTTGTAATTTCTTCTTTTAATTTTTTATTTCAAAACACCAACGATCCCAAAAACATCACTTTTCTTTTAGTGGAAAACGGAAAAGTATAAAAAACCCGCACAGGCTGTGGATTCTTTAGAGAAATTTTAAAACAAAGATGAGATATTTTGAATATCAAGTAAAATTGACAATGTTCTAGAAGAAAATAACAATTTGATTAAAGTGGATTGTAAAATTGGACTAGACGAGGAGTGGGACTTTGTAAGGACTTTGTCTAAGGCAAATTGGAACAAGATGAGAAGACACAGATTGAAATGCATGATGTTGGACTCAAGAATTAGGCTTGAAAGTGAGTAAGCTTAACCAGCAGACCATTTGATTGATGATTTTAAGGAAGCAAGTTGGAAATGTGAAGGATTTTGTTTGAATTCGGTTTAGAACTGGCTGTCAATTGGAGCACATCGTCGGGGTTTTCCGTGAATACGGATGTGACGGGATTTGCTCGGTTGATGGGCATCTGTAGAGCGAATCACATGGAATCTCGGGACCTCAGCGCCTAGAAATTGGAGATGAATAAAGTGTAGATGAACTTTGATTATCAACCGATTAACAGCTGGAGTTGCATTAAGTTTGATCAAGTTTATCTTAGCCTTATTGACTATCAATGAGCCGATAAAATGAAGGAATTGGCAAGGAAAAGTTGTTAAAAATCTTCCTTTTCGCAAAGGCATCCGAGACTCGAGAAGAAGCACATTCAGACTCTCGAAAAGGCACCAAAATCCACCATCAAGTTTGGGATTATTTTTTGGCATGACTAAGCACTCCTATTAGGGTGGTGCAAAAGAAACTGCCCGATGGGTATCAGCTCTCATTTATCAGAAACGAGCGATGCTAACGGCATTATTTACTATCAGCTCGGCATTATTTTTTATGTTTTGTTCGCTTATTTTTTTAGCAAATCTTAAAATATCTCTTATACAAACTCTATAAGATCTTATACAAATACAATAAACTCTCTTATACAAATTGCTTTTTAAATTTGCTTTAAATTTTAAATTAAAATTGCTCTAAAAACCCACCTCTTAAATTCGTGAAATTCAATAGCTTCTCCTTGTCCTGAAAATTTGAAATCATTTATTTAAAACCTGTGGATTTTACATGGTAAAAAGAAGGAAAAAAAGGAAGAGATTATTGACGTCAGTAATGGAAAGTATAAAACCGATTTTTTGAAAACGTGGAAACATCCATTTTTTGGCTATGCTGCCCTTTACTAAAATAGCTGTAAAAGCTTTTAGAAAAGAGATATCTCAAAAAGGTTTTTCTACCAATCGATCTATCTTGGATTCAGCTTTAGCTATAAAACGAGCTATAAAACGTCAAAATTTGAAAAATTCAAGGTACACTCCCAAAAATTCGGAAAGAACTTTTCAACCCAATATCAATTAATCTAATGATAATTGCTCATTAAGCATTCATCAATACTATTCTACTCTCTTCTAAGAAGTTGTGCATAAAAGTTTTGCACAACTAATTTTTGCACAACACAAGTTTTCCGTAACTCGCTATATCTTTTTTTGAGTCTTTCGAAAGGTTTGTGCTGGGAGGTGCAACGGAGTATGTAAAATTTTTGCTTATTAAAGACGGAAATCGTTTATAGAAGAAAAAGAAAAACACTATCGCAGGTGATCTGCCTCGTTTGATAAGAAAACGAATCGATACGCAACGAAACTGTAAACTGTTTTGGCGTTCTTAAAAACAGAACACTTCCGGCAGCAAATAATCGAGAATTTGTTAGGTTGGATAAACTCAGTTCAAACCATTAGCTTTATTCGAAAAAGGTTAAAACACTATCCCAATAAACCCATAAAATATAAATTAACATGTCAATGAGGTGCTTGCGATTGGAGGCTAATCGTCTTACTCGCTTGCTGCAGGGAGCCAGCCACGACACTTCTTTTCATCGCACCTATAAATTTTTCAAAACAGTAAACCAGAAAATGGAATCATCACTCACCAACATTTGGTCCTTCCTTTCTTTGAGTTCTTTGGCTTAACGGTTGTAGGATAGTAGTTAAGGGTGAGTTCCTCGCCTAAAAATCATCTCTATCAAGTAAAAAATTATTTGCTTACCCGGCTCAATATCACGCATGGAGTAGAGACCGATCCGAAAATCGTGTTCGGAATATTTATTCGTGATGACAAGTTTCGCTACCAAATTTGGATTGCACGAATGATTTATGAGTCTGGTTTCATTTCCGAGGCTTGTGGCGTCGATCACCAGGAATTTGTTGTCGAGCTTTGTGATTGCCGTCGCAAGACTGAATTGGTATTTTGTGTGTTTGTTTCGGCGTTTGGCTTCCGCAAAAGTGATCACCTGAAGGAACTTGATAAATTTAAACTGTGCGCGCCTCTCAAACCTCTCCGACGTATTCACCGACAAAAACATTCTTTGGAATTTTGAAAATTGTGCGAAGACCCCAGCCTTTCCTTCCTTCCCAAAATAGCACCAACGGTATCTGTCTCCCTTCCTGAATTTTTTTGATTGCTAATTTACATAAACAACAACCTGCAGCACTCGTTGACGACACATTACGGGGATCACATTTGCAATGCTCTCCACACTCAACTACTACGTCACAACTTTTGTTCCACTTTTGTAACTTTGTGCAACATGATGCTAAACCCTTGCTAAACCGCAAGCTTTGTTGCAGCCAAGATCGTTCGGACGAATATTCTTTAAAGTTTTCACAGCATCCTCAGAGTGGCGATTTTTGGTGATATACTAAACAAAAAATTATCAAAGCCATCCAAGGTTCAAGCTCAAAAAAGAAAATCTTCACCTTAAAGCGAGGCATCGCTTTCCAATCGCCTGACCAGTTTTCGATGAAAATTTTGGCTGCCTTTCCATCAATAATTGTGTTCCAGTTGAATTCCCTTTTAAGCAGTAGCCATCGCCATTTTGCATCTTTTAGCTGGAGGAAAAACCGGGGGGAAGCTAAAGCATAAACTAATTTCAACATTGAACTTTAAACTGACTCTTTTTGCTTATTGAGGAGCTTCTTTATCACTCGGCGGGCGACATTCCTCAATCGAGCAAATTTAAGCTAAATTTTTGTTGGAAATTGGTGACCACTCAAAAATAGCTATAACCATCGAATTTTCTTTGAAATCTAATAGATAAAATTATTTGTGTACTTGTATTAAAGGTGGTGAAAAACTGCTAAGTAATGAATAATTCGATTCCTTTCCAGTACTGTACTGCAAGTTCGCGAAGGATGGCTCAGGCTAAGCCCCATGGAGGGCTCGTCCCACTTACCCCGTCCCGGACCCGCTTAAGTGCACGAGCACGACCTCGCCCAATGTGTTATACTTTAAGACTAAAAATAAGTAAAAATTATTTTCCTTACTGTACCTTTTCTGGTGCTTTAAACTGTCTTCCAGAAACCCATGTGGACGCTTCAGATGAACAACCTGACCATTTGACAAGGTAAATATTCTAAAACTCATTGCTTGAATTAGTATCATAAAAAAAATTTTACCTTGCCACCCTTTTTCTGCATATCAGCTATATAGTCTACCTAAAATTTATTTAATATGAAATTTCTAAGGATGCGTTCTAGGATCCTGCTTCCCCATATAAAAAAATCGTGCTAAGCACCTTCATCAATACTCCATCCAATTGCTTCTGTACACGCTTGAATTGCGACTTGGCGTCGTTAGTAATCTTTCTGGTCGTCTTGCTCTTTTCCCGTTTTGTCAAACAATTCTTTTTACTAAGGCAACTTTAAAGTTATGCTTTCAGTTTAGACTGAATTTTATGATGGTTCTGTCATCAAATGTTAGAAGCCTAAAGGTAATCGGGTTTTGTGATTGTGGAGCCTATCGATGTTGGTCTCACCGCCTTTAGCGGCTGTGGCTCTGGGTGCTGCAGTCAGGCCCATACGCAACTTTGACACGGTGGCGGTGCGGAGCCAAATCCTGGGCTAACAATAAAAAGGCTAACTTAAAAATGTTTTCTGGTAGTCGATGTTATCAATCACCCTAGAAAACGCACATTGAAACATTTTTGGCTGCCCGTCCCCAACCGCCTTAGTTCCCAAGTTTTGAATGCAAAATTTAAAAGATAAATTTTTAAAACGTAGACTAACCGTTTGTAACATTGGATTTTGACGTCGCTTCTTTCCGGCAGCAGTCTCTCGCGCAGACTAAAAGAAAACAAATAATCAGTTGCCGGCACATAATCAACTGTGATAATTTTACCAAAATTAGGAACCGGAGATGGAAAAGCGTAAGCGAATACCTCATCTTCATCGTTGCTTCTATCGCTGTCCGCCGTTCTTTGTTCTTTCGCTCGTTGTCGCCGATGTACTCTCTTCTTGCCGGCTTTGCTGACAACCGGCTTTGACTCCTCTTTGACGCTTGACATGGATCTAAAATTAAAGCAAATCGTAAGAAAACAAGGAAAATAATGATCATAAATAAAGTGGCTGAAAAGACACGGAAATTTCAAAATCTGAAGAAAGAAGCAACCAATAATAAAATTTGTTTGGAGTAATAACTTAGCTTTTTGGATTTTTTAATCTTTTTCGTTATTGTAGCACTAGGTTATTTCGTTGCTAGGTGTTTAAAGTCCTGAGACCGTTGCATAACTTTTTTCACTTAGTTTCTATATCTTAGTTTCTAAGGAAAAGAAAAAGAGAAGACAAGAGAAGGCAAGGCAACATTTGCTGTCTTTCAGTGGATTTCTTTTTAGACTTTGAGAGTCAAACATCTAAATCGGAAAAGAATCATTTAAGTAAATTTTCGCTACAAGATGTTGCACCTTATTTTTGTTTTTTAGCCATACGTTTTATATTTTTTGTAGAAATCCTGCAACGTCGCATGTAATGAGAATCCAAAAATAGAGAGATTTATTTTTTGCAGTTTTTAATCTCAAGGCAAGGATGAAGTCCGCAATTTACCTGGCTGCCTAGCAACAGTCCGGTTCTAATGTTTGCTATTAATTGGGGACTTTTTGTTAGTCTAAAAAGTTGGCCGAAAATTCTTTGAACACTTTGTCATAAATCTGTTTTTTAAGCTTATGAATTGATTAATAGTTTGCTTCAAATAGAAGATCTTTATTGCTATAAAACGTATAAAAGATACCAAGGGCGAGAGAATTTGAACCGAGAAACATTGAAGAAAAAGATCACCATGAAAGGCGAGAGTTCAATATTATTAGAGATTAATGTTTTCAAAAACGAACATGTTGCGGGCTGTGCATTGGCAGATGAATGGGTGGCGGTGGCTGGAGCGGTTGCTGTCGTCGGAGTGTCCGATGAATGGGATTCGATCGATTGTTTGCCACGATCCTGTGCGATGAATTGTGAAGGCCAAACCGATTCTGAAATGAGTGGTCATAAATCTCTATCTCGAAGTGGACTTATATTCTCGCTTAAATTGACATAAAAGTCTTCGCGCTGTCGCCTTTTTTTGACTATCCGACTTCATGCCTACATAAAAAACTATAGAATATAAACTTTATAATACTAAACTAATGCTAGACTAAACTAATAATACTAAAAAAAAATTTTCCTAAGATTTCTTTATTCTGTAGAAAAATAATAGGCCTTTCTAATGCAGCAAGTATTAGATTAATTGATATTGGGTTGATGGAAAAGTTCTTTCCGAAATTTTGGGAGTGTACCTTAAATTTGCCAAGTTTTGACGTTTTATACTTATGCTAAAGCTGAATCAATACAGATCGACGGGTACAAAAATTGTCTTTAGTTATCTCTTTTCTAAAAGCTGCCAGAGCATGCCCCAGCCGAGTGTCCAATATGTATTTGGCTTGAATCATTTATAGATAAATATTTATATAAATCCTTTATTCAGAAAGAAATAAAGTGCGAAAACGCATTAATAAAATCTATTATATTAGATATTAATTTGTCTTCTTTATTTCTCTAACTTTAATCGAAGGAAAATATCCAATCGATTGGCCTTGTATCAGAGCGGTTGATTTGTGTAATGGAAATCGAGATTGTCCAAATGGTAGAGATGAGGAACCGGACATGTGCATGTTTCATTCTTTGGTTCGTTTTATTTAATGCTAGAACTTTAAACGAATGTCTGTAATGGTAGTCCAGTTAAAAGCCTTTCCTGGTGTTGGAATCCAGTTAAAAGCCTTTAAAGGGAAGATTTATCCATTTAAATTTGTATTTTTATGATTCAAATATTTAGCTTTAAAGTAAAGAGATTTCATCGAGCTTTCAAGCTTTTAAACTTTCAAAACAAACATAAAAATCTCAATTTTCAGAATCAAGGATCATTGCGTCAATTGCAGCTGGACTTTTTGAGATTCAGTGAACACCCTCTGAATTCGTGAAAATGAAGTCTGAGCCATATACGGGTGAGTTTGAAGGTAAAACAACGACGACAATAATGATCAATGATTGACGGATTATCAACAAATCTATAAAAAGCCCAACAAAATTATTAAAACCCTAGGGTTTAAGTTAGGCTAAGCTAAGACTCGGCTGCACCAGGAAGAGACAAGCAGCTCAAAGAAGATCCAAGGCCTGGCTCTAGCTTTGTCTGGTTTACAGGGAAAATCCAGTTAAAAGCCTTTCCTGGTGTTAGAATCCAGTTAGAAACCGTTCTTTGTTAGAATCCAGTTAAATCATTCACTTTAGATAAACTCCAGCTAAACTATCAAAATTTAACTGAAAACATTTACAGAATTCGACTAACGTTTGGAATGATCTCCTTTTTCACCTCGAATTACTCCAAATCGGCTCTCTTACTAGAATTCATAGAATTGTTGCTTTCTCGGTCTAGCAATGATACATCAACACGATCAGGTGAGAAGAAATATGATTTAACAAACAAATCATATACCCTTATCTATCTTTATGTCTACCACTACCAGCTAGCTGCTTACAGTTTTTTCCAGGAGAGCCTTTGTGACGAGATTTACTAGTATATAAGAATCAAGATTTTCTTTCTCTCTGCACAAAAAGATTTTTGGAATTGTCGCTTTCTTTCTTTTTATTGATTCATCACTTTCTCGCTGAACAAATGCAAATGTTAATCATTCCTTGTCCGAATACGAAACATATATAAAAGAACTTCAGAAATGGACTAGAAAGCGTGTGTTTCGAGCACAAAATATACTTGAAGAATACAACTTCTTTGAAACAACTTTGACTTTGAAACAAGAATTGAGTCTATTTTGACTATTTTGTCATTCTTGCTAGCTTAAGTAAGCTAGAAATTTTTTTTTTATTTTCGAAATCTCGAAAGCCGACGAGACTTAAATGTCAGCTGCTTGTTAGGCGTGTCAACCTTAGGTGTGACAGCTGCTTGTTAGCTATGTCAGCTGCTTGTTAGGCGTTAAATCTTTTCATGTAGGGCTCCTATATCTTTGTTGGTGTGCTGTGGCCAGATATCTTTGTCAAGCAATTTATATTATCAAAGTCATTATAAAGGTATCATGGTAAGCTTTCTGAGTGGTTTGCTCCAATAAAAATTAACAATTAAACAGACAAACAGAAATGAAACCAGCTCCAAATTTTTGAATTCGAAGCCCTCAACATTGAAATTTTAGCCTCAGCTTTTGAAATTTTCCATTTGCTACAAACACTCGAAGTACTCCGTCCCAATCTCGTTCAAACTTACTAATAAAATATTTGTTCAATGGTGTTTTTTGACACCCCGGGACGATCGCCACAAACAGAGTGTACTGGAGTACATCGCAGGCACCATCTCTACCGAAGGCTCTTTGCGAATCCAAAGTACGGCTAAAAAGTTCTCTTTGTGGGTCAAAATCATGTCCGAAAGTTGAATATAAAATGGCATTATTTTGTCATAAGCTAGATCTTCTATCTTAACATTTCTCTTTCAGTTTCTACGTCATCGGCGAGCTCTCGGAGGAGTCAGTTTGTCACTACTTGACGACGACCGTCGACGAAGTTATTGCTGATCTATTGGAAAGCAAATGTATCACGTTGGATGAGCTACATCATTTCTACAATATAAGTTGGAGTATCTTGCATTTTTGTATTGAAAGTTTAGATGAGGAACATCACGGACAAGCTGAACCAAGATAAGGGACGCTTGCGATTAAGAAGTATTAAAATTTGATAATTTGATTTGCCTCTGCGTCACCTGCTTTCCTTCAGCGATGGGCAACACGAGAGCTTCATATCCTATGTGGTATCTGTCTGTTTGTATCCTGTTTCTCGGTGTCCTCTCATTTTTTCGAAAAAAACCCGAAAAAGATCCAAGCACGTCACGATTGACGTCACGTCAATCTTCAATTTTCACGTCATTCCAAGCACTCCTTTCACTAATATTTTCCAAACGATTCTGCAATCGATCCTTTTTTACTTAAAATTTTAGAGATTTCTTTGATTCGTTTCTTATCAGTGTATTTTTGAAAAGAAAAGGAAGGCAAAGAGAAGAGAAATTAACGAGTGAACACAAGAATGGAACCACAACATCTCGGTCTAGCAATGATACATCAACACGATCAGGTGAGAAGAAATATGATTTAACAAACAAATCATATACCCTTATCTATCTTTATGTCTACCACTACCAGCTAGCTGCTTACAGTTTTTTCCAGGAGAGCCTTTGTGACGAGATTTACTAGTATATAAGAATCAAGAATTTATTAAGATCGCTTCTGATATTCTGGTCTGCGTCTGGTTTAATTTAAATCAGCTCACAAGGGTTAGAAGATTTCTTATGCTTGCTATGAAAACAAACAGGAACGAAACAACTTGATTTGTGTGCTTTTTGAAAATCTGTTATTGTCTCAAAACTCGTTAAAGATTGGCCCGATTCGCCAAATTCGTGCAGGTCTCCGCCTCGATTCGATCGATGATCGTCCAGTTCCGCTACATTTCCGGGTAATAAAGCTTTTCCTGAATTGATAAATTCCAGATTTTTCCTGTGATAAAGCAAGATTCCGTTTCAGAGGCACGAAGTGGGACAACGACCTCAAGTCTGGAGGAATCGGACAACAAGTGGTGCGTGCTTGTTGAAGACAAAGAATAAGGAAAGGGCTGATCTTTAAAGGATCTTTTTTCCATTTATCAATGAAATTCTAACCATTTGACATTTACCATTTGAGAAAAACAGCTCGGAAAATATTTGATTTTTTCGATGAAAAGAATCAAATGTTTATTATGGTAGTTTTTAAAAACACACATTTAACTAATATTTGTAAAAAGGAGCTCTAGGTCAAAAAATGCAAAATGCAAAAAAGATGACCTAAATCTTTAAAGATAATCAATGACTTTTGCAGTCCTTCTTATAGAATCAGAGGAAAAGTTTTGAAAAAACTACAGAAACAGGTTTAAGAACAAGCATTAAGAACAAAAGCTAGAAGAAAAGGATAAGGTTGTAAAGAGTTGACATTTAGAATATAAGTCCACTTCGAGATAGAGATCTATGACCACTCATTTCAGAATCGGTTTGGCCTTCACAATTCATCGCACAGGATCGGGGCAAACAATCGATCGAATCCTATTCATCGGACACCCCGACGACAGCAACCGCTCCAGCCACCGCCACCCATTCATCTGCCAATGCACAGCCCGCAACATGTTCGTTTTTGAAAACATTAATCTCTAAGAATATTGAACTCTCGCCTTTCATGGCGATCTTTTTCTTCAATCTTTCTCGGTTCAAATTCTCTTATATATCTTTTATACGTTTTATAGCTCCCTTTTATCCCTAGAATTCCCTTTTAAGCAGTAGCCATGGCCATTTTGCATCTTTTAGCTAAAGGAAAAACCCGGGGAACCAATACAGATCGATGGGTACAAAAACCGCTATCTCTTTTCTAAAAGATTTTACAGCTATTTTAGTAAAGTAAAGGGCAGCAGAGCCAAAAAATGGATGTTTCCACGTTTCAAAAAATGGCTTTTCGTTAGTTTTCGGTGGGAATCTGTTTCTCATTTCTAAACGCTAGTGGAATAATTTATATCATTTATAAATAAATCATTTATAGATAAATCATTTATAGATAAATCATTTATAGATAAATCATTTATATAAATACTTTATTCAGAAAGAAATAAAACGCATTAATAAAATATATTATATTAGATAATTTGCATATTAATTTGTCGTCTTTATTTCTCTAACTTTAATCGAACGAAAAATGAACCTGAGCTTGAACAAAACCCGAACAATCCCCAGGTCTTTCATTTGTTTTCCTCCAATCCTCCATCCAATACAATGGGAATTTCAAAGTCTAGACTCAAAATTGAATCTGTGACAATGCAATAATCTCTTCCTTTTTATCATTAGAAAGCTTTCCTTTTTTATCACAAGTCATTCCAGACGTTTTCCTTTAAAATAACACCTGTCTTTTTCTATACTTTCCATTACTGACGTAAAAAAACAATTGAAATTAATTAAAAATCGAATTTTTAATTAGCTTAGTAATCGCAAAAAAAATCCAATGGAAAGCCAGTAGATTTTGACTTTATTCTTTTTACAAGGTAAAATCCAAGGTTTTTAGAGCAATTTTAATTTAAAATTTAAAGCAAATTTAAAAAGCAATTTGTGTAAGAGAGTTTATTTTATTTGTATAAGATCTTATAGAGTTTGTATAAGAGATATTTTAAGATTTATTAGCTTTAAAATATAGACGATTAAAATTGAAACAAGTTTCAGCTTAGTATTGGGAACGAATGAGAGCTGATACCCATCGGGCAGTTTCTTTTGCACCACCCTAATAGGAGTGCTTAGTCATGCCAAAAATAATCCCAAACTTGATGGTGGATTTTGGTGCCTTTTCGAGAGTCTGAATGTGCTTCTTCTCGAGTCTCGGATGCCTTTGCGAAAAGGAAGATTTTTAACAACTTTTCCTTGCCAATTCCTTCATTTTATCGGCTCATTGATAGTCAATAAGGCTAAGATAAACTTGATCAAACTTAATGCAACTCCAGCTGTTAATCGGTTGATAATCAAAGTTCATCTACACTTTATTCATCTCCAATTTCTAGGCGCTGAGGTCCCGAGATTCCATGTGATTCGCTCTACAGATGCCCATCAACCGAGCAAATCCCGTCACATCCGTATTCACGGAAAACCCCGACGATGTGCTCCAATTGACAGCCAGTTCTAAACCGAATTCAAGCAAAATCCTTCACATTTCCAACTTGTTTCCTTAAAATCATCAATCAAATGGTCTGCTGGTTAAGCTTACTCACTTTCAAGCCTAATTCTTGAGTCCAACATCATTCATTTCAATCTGTGTCTTCTCATCTTGTTCCAATTTGCCTTAGACAAAGTCCTTACAAAGTCCCACTCCTCGTCTAATCCAATTTTACAATCCACTTTAATCAAATTGTTATTTTCTTCTAGAACATTGTCAATTTTACTTGATATTCAAAATATCTCATCTTTGTTTTAAAATTTCTCTAAAGAATCCACAGCCTGTGCGGGTTTTTTTATACTTTTCCGTTTTCCACTAAAAGAAAAGTGATGTTTTTGGGATCGTTGGTGTTTTGAAATAAAAAATTAAAAGAAAATCGTTGACAGGACCAGCAACAAGTGCAGAATGACAAGGAAAACTTCTTCTTTGCAACTAAAACAAATTTGATTAAGCCAAGAAGCGTTTACGAGTTTTGTAAAACAAAAGAAATCCGGTGATTATCTTGGTACTCGATGGTATTTGAAAAATCAACGTACATGTAGGTATATTAGAGGTTTTACGCCAATTTATTTGACTATTTTGCTACAAAAACAGTCAATCGATTTTAAAACATTATCATTCACCGAAGAATGCTTTCATTGGAATCCAGATCATTGAATTCTATTCCCTGGAGAAGTTCGACTCCATCCAATCTTTGTCAACCTTTGCATAAACTTACTTTTATCCATTCTTCAGCTTCGTAGCTTGTACTTATACTTTTTCTTGTAGTAGAGTCTTCCCTCACTAATTCCTTTTCTAGAGGTCACCTAGTTTTGAAAATGACCGTCTTTCAACGTTCAGCTTTCAATTGATCAGCTTAATTTTAGTCAAATTCAATCTGCAAATCACAAGCCTCAAAAACTTCAGGTGTTTGTAGCAAATAGAAAATTTCAAAAACTGAGGCTAAAATTTCAATGTTGAGGGCTTCGAATTCAAAAATTTGGAGCTGGTTTAATTTCTGTTTGTCTGTTTAATTGTTAATTTTCATTGGATCAAACCACTCAGAAAGCTTACCATGATACCTTTATAATAATGACTTTGATAATAAAAATTGCTTGACAAAGATATCTGGCCACAGCACATCCCACAAAGATATAGGAGCTCTACATGGAAAGATTTAACGCCTAACAAGCAGCTGACATAGCTAACAAGCAGCTGTCACACCTAAGGAGCAGCTGACATTTAAGTCTCGTCGTCTTTCGAGATTTCGAAAATAAAAAAATCTTTTGCTAGCTTACTTAAGCTAGCAATAATGACGAAATAATCAAAATAGACTCAATTCTTGTTTCAAAGTCAAAGTTGTTTCAAAGAAGTTGTGTTCTTCAAGTATATTTTGTGCTCAAACACACTCTTTCTAGTCCATTTCTGAAGTTCTTTTATATATGTTTCGTATTCGGACAATGAATGATTAACATTTGCATTTGTTCAGCGAGAAAGTGATGAATCAATAAAAAGAGAGAAATCGACAATTCCAAAAATCTTTTTTGTGCAGAGAGAAAGAAAATTCGACAACAATTCTATGAATTCTAGTAAGAGAGCCGATTTCGGGGCGGGGGGAGTAATTCGAGGTGAAAAAAGGAGATCATTCCAAACGTTAGTCGAATTCTGTAAATTTTTCCAGTTAAATTTTGATAGTTTAGCTGGAGTTTATCTAAAGTGAATGATTTAACTGGATTCTAACAAAGAACGGTTTCTAACTGGATTCTAACACCAGGAAAGGCTTTTAACTGGATTTTCCCTGTAAACCAGACAAAGCTAGAGCCAGGCCTTGGATCTTCTTTGAGCTGCTTGTCTCTTCCTGGTGCAGCCGAGTCTTAGCTTAGCCTAACTTAAACCCTAGGGTTTTAATAATTTTGTTGGGCTTTTTTATAGATTTGTTGATAATCCGTCAATCATTGATCATTGATCATTAATGTCATTGTTGTTTTACCTTCAAAACTCACCCGTATATGGCTAAGACTTGATTTTCACGAATTCATAGGGTGTACTTGACGACGGTGTAGCACCACTGAATCTCAAAAAGTCCCGCTGCAATTGACGCAATGATCCTTGATTCTGAAAATTGAGATTTTTATGGGTGTTGTTTTGAAAGTTTAAAAGCTCGATGCTTAGTTTAAAAGCTAGATGAAATCTCTTTACTTTAAAGCTAAATATTTGAATCATAAAAATACAAATTTAAATGGATAAATCTCCCCTTTAAAGGCTTTTAACTGGATTCCAACACCAGGAAAGGCTTTTAACTGGACTACCATTACAGAAATTCGTTTAAAGTTCTAGCATTAAATTAAAACGAACCAAAGAATGAAACATGCACATGTTCGGTTCCTCATCTTCGCCATTTGGACAATCTCGATTTCCATTACACAATTCAACCGCTCTGATACAAGGCCAATCAATTGGATCATCGGCTAAAATGGGAACCTTTAAAATATCTATCTTACTCGAGTAATATCGGAACAAGCTATGGTACCCTTCAAAGCACCGCTGATATCTGGCACCACACAACTCACTCTAAGTGAAGGACAAGGAGCCCATTTTTTCTGTGGAAAATCTTTCTGCTTGACACACTGAAAGATTATTAGTTTTTGTTTACTTTTAAAATATTAAGCTGAAACTTGTTTCATTTTTAATCGTCTATATTTTAAAGTTAATAAATCTTAAAATATCTCTTATACAAACTCTATAAGATCTTATACAAATAAAATAAACTCTCTTATACAAATTGCTTTTTAAATTTGCTTTAAATTTTAAATTAAAATTGCTCTAAAAACCCACCTCTTAAATTCGTGAAATTCAATAGCTTCTCCTTGTCCTGAAAATTTGAAATCATTCATTTAAAACCTGTGGATTTTACCTTGTAAAAAGAATAAAGCCAAAATCTACTGGTTTTCCATTGGATTTTTTTGCTATTACTAAGCTAATTAAAAATTTGATTTTTAATTAATTTCAATTGTTTTTTGACGTCAGTAATGGAAAGTATAGAAAAAGACAGGTGTTATTTTAAAGGAAAACGTCTGGAATGACTTGTGATAAAAAAGGAAAGCTTTCTAATGAGAAAAAGGAAGAGATTATTGCATTGTCACAGATTCAATTTTGAGTCCATACTTTGAAATTCCCATTTATTGGATGGAGGATTGGAGGATGAAAGACCTGGGGATTGTTCCGGTTTTTTTCAAGCTCAGGTTCATTTTTCGTTCGATTAAAGCTAGAGAAATAAAGACGGCAAATTAATATGCAAATTAAATGCAAAATTAATATCTAATATAATAGATTTTATTAATGCGTTATCGCACTTTATTTCTTTCTGAATAAAGTATTTACATAAATGATTTATCTATAAATGATTTATTTATAAATGATATAAATTATTCCACTAGCATTTAGAAATGAGAAACAAATTCGCACGGAAAACTAACGAAAAGCCATTTTCTGAAAACGTGGAAACATCCATTTTTTGGCTCTGCTGCCCTTTACTTTACTAAAATAGCTGTAAAATCTTTTAGAAAAGAGATATCTCAAGGCGGTTTTTGTACCCATCGATCTGTATTGGATTCAGCTTTAGCATAAGCTATAAAACGTCAAAACTTGACAAATTTAAGGTACACTCCCCAAATTTCGGAAAGAACTTTTCCATCAACCCAATATCAATTAATCTAATGCTTGCTGCATTAGAAAGGCCTATTTTCTACAGAATCAAGAAATGTTATGAAAATTTGTTTCTTAGTATCATTAGTTTAGTTTAACATTAGTTTAGTATTATAAAGTTTATGTTCTATAGTTTTATGTAGGCATGAAGTCGGATAGTCAAAAAAAGGCGACAGCGCGAAGACCCAATTTAAGCGTTTTATGATTTACATAAACCTTTTGTTGTCAATGATTGTCAATTCCAATGTCAACTATGGCCGAATTTTGAGAATATCTGTTCAACCGATTCCTTTATGGAGGTTTTTATCGAATTTTACAAAGAAATTGGTTTCTTTACACTTAAAGTCACTTGGAAGACTAAAATAGACTAAAATCGGGTTGAAATGATAGAAAAGTGAATGGAAAACATTTCCTATTTAAAGGAATTTGTGCTTTTGTCATTTCAATGCTATAAATGCTAGTAAAACAAGATTACCAAGATTACAAAGATTTATTGATCAAAAGATTATTGTCAGCTAAACTCAGCCACTTAATCATTATCGTCAAACGATTTCTTTAAGATTTAAAACAAACTCGTGGAGCTGCTTCTGTAAAGATGTTGTGTAGAGTGATGAAAAGGATGAAAAATGACACCACAATTCTTTTACCCATTCGATCCTTCTGCAAATTTTTTTGTGAATATAGAAGAAAAAAGCTTCGTAAAATAGAGGATTAAAAAAGTGAGAAATGAGAACCCATTCATCGGACACCCCGACGACAGCAATAACTCCAGCCAGGCCACCCATTCATCTGCCAATGCACAGCCCGCAACATGTTCGTTTTTGAAAACATTAATCTCCAATAATATTGAACTCTCGCCCTTCATCGTGATCTTTTTCTTCAATCTTTTTCGGTTCAAATTCTCTCGCCCTTGATATCTTTTATACGTTTTATAGCAATAAACATCTTCTATTTGAAGCAAACTATTAATCAATTCATAAGCTTAAAAAAACAGATTTATGACAAAGTGTCCAAAGAATTTTCGGCCAACTTTTTAGACTAACAAAAAGTCCCCAATTAATAGCAAACATTAGAACCGGACTGTTGCTAGGCATCCAGGTAAATTGCGGACTTCATCCTTGCCTTGAGATTAAAAACTGCAAAAAATAAATCTCTCTATTTTTGGATTCTCATTACATGCGACGTTGCAGGATTTCTACAAAAAATATAAAACGTATGGCTAAAAAACAAAAATAAGGTGCAACATCTTGTAGCGAAAATTTACTTAAATGATTCTTTTCCGATTTAGATGTTTGACTCTCAAAGTCTAAAAAGAAACCCAATGAAAGACAGCAAATGTTGCCTTGCCTTCTCTTGTCTTCTCTTTTTCTTTTCCTTAGTAAGATATAGAAACTAAGTGAAAAAAGCTATGCAACGGTTTCAGGACTTTAAACACCTAGCAACGAAATAACCTAGTGCTACAATAACGAAAAAGATTAAAAAATCCAAAAAGCTAAGTTATTACTCCAAACAAATTTTATTATTGGTTGCTTCTTTCTTTAGATTTTGAAATTTCCGGGTCTTCTCAGCCACTTTATTTATGCTCATTATTTTCCTTGTTTTCTTACCATTTGCTTTAATTTTAGATCCATGTCAAGCGTCAAAGAGGAGTCAAAGCCGGTTGTCAGCAAAGCCGGCAAGAAGAGAGTACATCGGCGACAACGAGCGAAAGAACAAGGAACGGCGGACAGCGATAGAAGCAACGATGAAGATGAGGTATTCGCTTACGCTTTTCCATCTCCGGTTCCTAATTTTGGTAAATTTATCACAGTTGATTATGTGCCGGCAACTGATTATTTGTTTTCTTTTAGTCTGCGCGAGAGACTGCTGCCGGAAAGAAGCGACGTCAAAATCCAATGTTACAAACGGTTAGTCTACGTTTTAAAAATTTATCTTTTAAATTTTGCATTCAAAACTTGGGAACTAAGGCGGTTGGGGACGGGCAGCCAAAAATGTTTCAATGTGCGTTTTCTAGGGTGATTGATAACATCGACTACCAGAAAACATTTTTAAGTTAGCCTTTTTATTGTTAGCCCAGGATTTGGCTCCGCACCGCCACCGTGTCAAAGTTGCGTATGGGCCTGACTGCAGCACCCAGAGCCACAGCCGCTAGATTAGTTTAGTATTATAAAGTTTATATTCTATAGTTTTTTATGTAGGCATGAAGTCGGATAGACCAACATCGTGGCTCCACTGAGACCAACATCGATAGGCCCACAATCACAAAACCCGATTACCTTTAGGCTTCTAACATTTCATGACAGAACCATCATAAAATTCAGTCTAAACTGAAAGCATAACTTTAAAGTTGCCTTAGTAAAAAGAATTGTTTAGACAAAGCGGGAAAAGAGCAAGACTGCTCGTGCACTTAAGCGTGCTCGTGCTCGTGCACTTAGGCGGGTCCGGGACGGGGTAAGTGGGACGAGCCCTCCATGGGGCTTAGCCTGAGCCATCCTTCGCGAACTTGCAGTACAGTACTGGAAAGGAATCGAATTATTCATTACTTAGCAGTTTTTCACCACCTTTAATACAAGTACACAAATAATTTTATCTATTAGATTTCAAAGAAAATTCGATGGTTATAGCTATTTTTGAGTGGTCACCAATTTCCAACAAAAATTTAGCTTAAATTTGCTCGATTGAGGAATGTCGCCCGCCGAGTGATAAAGAAGCTCCTCAATAAGCAAAAAGAGTCAGTTTAAAGTTCAATGTTGAAATTAGTTTATGCTTTAGCTTCCCCCGGTTTTTCCTCCAGCTAAAAGATGCAAAATGGCGCTGGCTACTGCTTAAAAGGGAATTCAACTGGAACACAATTATTGATGGAAAGGCAGCCAAAATTTTCATCGAAAACTGGTCAGGCGATTGGAAAGCGATGCCTCGCTTTAAGGTGAAGATTTTCTTTTTTGAGATTGCACCTTGGATAATGTTTTGTTTAGTATATCACCAAAAATCGCCACTCTGAGGATGCTGTGAGAATATTCGTCCGAACGATCTTGGCTGCAACAAAGCTTGCGAATGCAAGGGTGCAATTAATTGATGTGCCTCGGTATCATGAAAACTATTTTTCTTACTTTTCCTTTAGCATCATGTTACACATACAAAAGTGGAACAAAACCAAAGGCCATCCGGAAACTCAACTCGGCAAACTCTAGTTGTGACGTAGTAGTTGAGTGTGGAGAGCATTGCAAATGTGATCCCATAACTTGTCGTCAACGAGTGCTGCAGGTTGTTGTTTATGTAAATTAGCAATCAAAAAAATTCAGGAAGGGAGACAGATACCGTTGGTGCTATGGGAAAGGCGGCGAAGGAAAGGCTGGGGTCTTCGCACAATTTTCAAAATTCCAAAGAATGTTTTTGTCGGTGAATACGTCGGAGAGGTTTGAAAAGCGCGCACAGTTTAAATTTATCAAGTTCCTTCAGGTGATCACTTTTGCGGAAGCCAAACGCGGAAACAAACACACAAAATACCAATTCAGTCTTTCGACGGCAATCACAAAGCTCGACAACAAATTCCTGGTGATCGACGCCACAAGCCTCGGAAATGAAACCAGATTCATAAATCATTCGTGCAATCCAAATTTGGTAGCGAAACTTGTGATCACGAATAAATATTCCGAACACGATTTTCGGATCGGTCTCTACTCCATGCGTGATATTGAGCCGGGTAAGCGAATAATTTTTTACTTGATAGAGATGATTTTTAGGCGAGGAACTCACCCTTAACTACTATCCTACAACCGTTAAGCCAAAGAACTCAAAGAAAGGAAGGACCAAATGTTGGTGAGTGATGATTCCATTTTCTGGTTTACTGTTTTGAAAAATTTATAGGTGCGATGAAAAGAAGTGTCGTGGTTGGCTCCCTGCAGCAAGCGAGTAAGACGATTAGCCTCGAATCGCAAGCACCTCATTGACATGTTAATTTATATTTTATGGGTTTATTGGGATAGTGTTTTAACCTTTTTCGAATAAAGCTAATGGTTTGAACTGAGTTTATCCAACCTAACAAATCGATTATTTCCGGAAGGTGTTTTTAAAACCAAAACAGTTTACAGTGCAATATCGATTCGTTTTCTTATCAAACGAGGCAGATCACCCGGGATAGTGTTTTTCTTTTTCTTCTATAAACGATTTCCGTCTTTAATAAGCAAAAATTTTACATACTCCGTTGCACCTCCCAGCACAAACCTTTCGAAAGACTCAAAAAAAGATATAGCGAGTTACGGAAAACTTGTGTTGTGCAAAACTTAGTTGTGCAAAACTTTTATGCACAACTTCTTAGAAGAGAGTAGAATAGTATTGATGAATGCTTAATGATATTGGGTTGAAAAGTTCTTTCCGAATTCTTGGGAGTGTACCTTGAATTTTTCAAATTTTGACGTTTTATAGCTCATGCAGAGCCAAAAAATGGATGTTTCCACGTTTCAAAAAATGGCTTTTCGTTAGTTTTCGGTGCGAATCTGTTTCTCATTTCTAACTAGTGGAATAATTTATATCATTTATAAATAAATCATTCATAGATAAATCATTTATATAAATACTTTATTCAGAAAGAAATAGAGTGCGAAAACGCATTAATAAAATCTATTATATTAGATAATTTGCATATAATTTGTCTTCTTTATTTCTCTAACTTTAATCGAATGAAAAACGAAAAACGAAAAATGAAAACGTGGAAACATCCATTCAAAAATGAACCTGAGCCTGAACAAAACCCGAACAATCCCCAGGTCTTTCATTTGTTTTCCTCCAATCCTCCATCCAATACAATGGGAATTTCAAAGTCTAGACTCAAACTTTAATCTGTGACAATGCAATAATCTCTTCCTTTTTGAGGCATATGAAGGCATATGAAGCCTTGGGCTGATAATCACTTTTCTGGAGCACCTTGGATCTTTCAACAAGATTCTGCACCAGCACATCGTGCAAAAAAGACCATGGAGTGGTTTGCCAAGCAAAACGTGGATTTCATTACCCCGGAAGAATGGCCTGCAAATTCACCTGACATCAATCCGATGGATTTTGCCATATAAGGAATCTTGAAGGCAAAGGTCTCATCAGCTCCACATGCTATGATCTGAAAGCCACCCTTATCAAGGAATGGGCAAAAATCCCCGTTGAGACTCTCCGCGCCGCGGTCGACGATGTGCCGAAGCGACTTAGGGCTTGCAATTAATCTACTCTCGCCTTTCATGGTGATCTTTTTCTTCAATCTTTCTCGGTTCAAATTCTCTTATATATCTTTTATACGTTTTATAGCTCCCTTTTATCTCATTTTGCATCTTTTAGCTGGAGGAAAAACCGGGGGAACCAATACAGTCGATGGGTACAAAAACCGCTATCTCTTTTCTAAAAGATTTTACAGCTATTTAGTAAAGTAAAGGGCAGCAGAGCCAAAAAATGGATGTTTCCACGTTTCAAAAAATGGCTTTTCGTAAGTTTTCCGTGCGAATTTGTTTCTCATTTCTAAATGCTAGTGGAATGAAAAAGGTATATTAGAAGTTTTACGCGAATTTATTTGACTATTTTGCTACAAAAACAGTCAATCGAATTTAAAACATTATCATTCACCAAAGAACGCTTTCATTGGTATCCAGATCATTGAATTCTACAAATTAGGTCAGCAAAAGGGATTTCCCGCTTTCACAGAGATCTTTTTTTGGATAGAAGATAAGCCGCAAAAAAGGTTGACATCTCGAATCTCAAAGAATCGTGAGATTCGGGCAAATATTACTGTAGGGAAAAAATTGAAGGACCTCTAGGACCTCGAAAACAGTAAAAAAGAGTTCTTGAGTAGCTTTTAATGCAATTTGGGATCAGATAAAGCTTTAGTTTTTGGTTGGTGACATTCTAAAAGCAAGCAAAAAGCTTCGCGAAATGAAAAAGGAACGGGACTCTTGTTGGTCATATAAACAAATTAGGTTACCAGAAAGGATTTCCCACTTTAGGAGAGATTTTTTTTTCCTCGCCTCAAAATCATCCAAGTAAAAAATTATTCGAAAATTATTTATATATTTTTTTTGTAGAAATCATGCAACGTCGAATGTAATGAGAATCCAAAAATAGAGAGATTTATTTTTTGCAGCTTTTAATCTCAAGGCAAGGATGAAGTCCACGATTTACCTGGCTGCCTAGCAACAGTCCGGTTCTAATGTTTGCTATTAATTGGGGACTTTTTGTTAGTCTAAAAAGTTGGCCGAAAATTCTTTGGACACTTTGTCATAAATCTGTTTTTTAAATGAAAAGCTTATGAATTAATTAATAGTTTGCTTCAAATAGAAGATCTTTATTGCTATAAAACGTCTAAAAGATATCAAGAGCGAGAGAATTTGAACCGAGAAAGATTGAAGAAAAAGATCACGATGAAAGGCGAGAGTTAGTTCAATATTATTAGAGATTAATGTTTTCAAAAACGAACATGTTGCGGGCTGTGCATTGGCAGATGAATGGGTGGCGATGGCTGGAGTTGTTGCTGTCGTCGCGGTGTCGGATGAATGGGATTCGATCGATTGTTTGCCCCGATCCTGTGCGATGAATTGTGAAGGCCATGCACCGATTCTGAAATGTGTGGTCATAGATCTCTAGCTCAAGTGGACTTATATTCTAAATGTCAACTCTTTACAACCGTATCCTTTTCTTCTAGCTTTTGTTCTTAATGCTTGTTCTTAAACCTGTTTCTGTAGTTTTTTCAACTTTTCCTCTGATTCGATAAGAAGGACTGCAAAGTCATTGATTATCTTTAAAGATTTAGATCATCTTTTTTGCATTTTGCTTTTTTTGACCTAGAGCTCCTTTTTACAATATTTTAGTTAAGTGTGTGTTTTTAATTTTATAAATTTTTCAAAACAGTAAACCAGAAAATGGAATCATCACTCACCAACATTTGGTCCTTCCTTTCTTTGAGTTCTTTGGCTTAACGATTAAAGTGATTATAAAGGGTTTTTGATTGAATCTTTGAGTGAAAAAACTGTAAACGAATTTACCTTGTGACAAAGAAAACATAAGTGAGCACAGCGACGTTGCCAGCCGTTCCGAAAATGAACAAAAAAGCGTAGGGAAGGGAAAATGAGGTGACTTCGGTGCTGTACACTTGCATTGATGGACCCGCCGAATGTACAGAAGTCATCTGAAATTTGAATAAAGAGGGGAAAAGTGAAAGAGATAATATAAAAGAGGAGAATATGTTAAGAATATATTAAGAGTAGAATATAACAGTAGAATATAAGAGGAGAATATAAGAATATATCAAGAATATAGTTTTCAGAATAAAAATACGATTTATTGCTAAATTGTTAAGGAAAAGATAGAAGTTGGCCAGGCAAAAAAGCGCGGTTCGGCGAGGTTTCTCGCTTTTTTTCCTGCTGGTTCTTCACTCGACGTGGCGCAGCCAGGAGTGCCCTCATCTAGCACCCACAGGGTCCGAGTTCGAACCCCGGTTGCGATCCGACTTTTGCTTTTGAAAAAATAAAATATGAGATACAAAACTACTCAGAATTCTAAGCCTAACACTAAAAATTACGTAAATCGGCTCACGGGAAGCCGAGATCTCGCGCGTACAAATGAACGAAGCAAACAATTGATTTTATATATAGATTGTTAAAAAGAAAGGTAGAGTGACTGGCAGAAAGGCAACAAAGAGAGATCAGTTTAGATTTTCCAATCTTTAAAATGCTGTAAATCTTTTAAAGTAACGGCAATCTCGAAAGTCTATGATCCATTTAAAGTACAGGAAGTACAAGAGTTTCCGGTAGGAAATTTTATAAGGAACATTTTAAGAACAACACAAGTTAACTGAAAATGCAGATAGGGAGGAAGAGAAAAGAGTGATTAGCTTCCGCGGAACAATAGCACAATTGTTAAAGAAAACGGGTACTTTTTATTAGATCAGCCCCGATTTTTTCGACGGATTCGAACTCCTCGACTAAAACTACGTCTAGAAAAGTGATCTTAAAAGATTAAAAAAATTTTTTTCATTTCACCAATCCAATAGATCTGTGTACTCGATGAGTAGGAATTTTTGCGGAAAAACGTTTTCTAAAACAAACGCAGGATCATGCACCTTAGAGCCCCAAAATTTGGCTTAAAACGCCGTTTCCCCAGCTCTCGTCCTGTTTTTCGGGATCATGCATCGTGAAATGAAAATGAAAATGATTATAACAAAAGTACTTGACTTGATCATCAGCACTTTTTGCTTTTGCTTTTTGCTGCTGCTTGTAGCAAAAGGGTTTTTGCCAAGCTCAAGTTAATGCATTTATCGGATAAGATTTTGGAAATTTTGAGCTTAATTGATTACTGGACTATTTTTGTACTCTTTTGTAAAATTTAAAAATTCATTTGTTCTGCGCAGCCAACTATAATTGTTGGCCGTTCAAGATAGTGCGGTCTCTTTTAGGAGAGGCGAGCCAAACCGCCTCAGGCTTTGCTGTTCCTGCATATTGGCTCGAATGTCTAAAATCTTATAAGCCTTTCTCAAACTATTTTTCTTTCAGCTTGCAGTGTTCACACCAAGACGCAAAGACGGCAGTTCTCATTTCACCAATCCAATAGATCTGTGTACTCGATGAGTAGGAATTTTTGCGGAAAGACGTTCTCTAAAACAAACGTAGGATCATGCACCTTAGAGCCCCGAAATTTGGCTTAAAACGCCGTTTCCCCCGCTCTCGTCCTGTTTTTCGGGATCTAGGCATAAAAATACTCCAGAAAGAGTGGATTTGAGGAAAAAGTGCCCCCCCAACAGGCGTAGTACCTTGTTCATTTTAAATTTCAATCTTTTGCAGGCAAGACCAAGAGTTTGGCAATACCGAGTACATGAAACTGGACATCAGTCAGATGGGACATCAATGAAACTGGACATCAGATGGGACGAAAGCACCATCGTACTCGGCGTTTTGCTCATTTTGATGCCGAAATCTCACTTTTGTTCATTCCCTTTGTAAATATCTACTTCTGTTTAGGCAATACCGAGTACATGAAACTGGACTTCCCATCAGTCTGCTATGTCACCGAAGCTGGCTCGATCGTCATAATCATCGTTTTCATTTTTTTATTCTGTCATTGATTTATTACTTTGGTTTTGTGAAAAATTTATTGAAATGACAAAAAAACGAGCAAATATATAAAGGAGCAAATAAATATTGGTCAGCTAGTTACAAGTTACTGTACAACAGTACAATGTGAGCACTATGTATTTGTATCTCTTACTCATTATTTTTTTATTAGCTAGGGATATTAGCCAGGAATCAAATCGCATCGTTTCTATGAATTTGACAATTTTACTTTTTTTTCCTTTTTGCCTCTTGAAATGGCTCAAAATAAGCGCTTTTTAAAACACGTGAGAATCATTTTGTAAAAAAAGATAGAGTTTTTCAAAAGAAAAAATCGTTTGGTTATGGTCGATTTACTGTTTCTAATTCACCGTTTGCTATAGATGCATGTATCAAAATAGAACAGAAAATAACGGACAAAAATAGAAGCTCACATCATAAAAGTCGGGAAAACTTAATTCAGCAAGCTGAAAACAAAAAAGAAAGGATTGTGATGAAATAAAAATAGAAAATTGTGTGAAATTTCATTATGTGTTACCATAAAAAGCCACTATTTAAGGATCCGAGCAATACGTTTCATCTAAAATCGTGTGATTTGCCAAAAAAATGCTCCTCACCGTGAACATTTTCCTACTTTTGCTCGCAATTTCTACGCAATCGGAAGTGACTTTTCAAGTGCGTTTCCTTAAGTTGCTTAAATTTTGAGATTTCCAGGTCGATTTGGTACCAATTTGTGCGAATGGCGCATATCCACCAAGTCCAGTAAGATAATCTTTGAGAAGAAAAATTGGAAGTTTGGGGTTTGGCTCTTTGGACCCTAGAGCAGAACAGTCATTCTAGAGCCGATTTTCCAGGCCAGCTCAAAGCCAAGTCAAATATTTTTGCTCAAATTCCTATAAATTCCAGACAAAACTTGGCCCAAAGTCACGGTTTTAGACAAAATTCTGTTCAAAGAAAGATCCAGATCCAAATAAGGCTAAATAAGAGCCACAGGCCAAGGCCAATTGAAAGCAATTGGTTTTGCGCTTGGCTTGGCTAGCCATGGCTTTTATCCAAATAAGGCTAAATATTGAGCCACAGGCCAAGGCCAATTGAAGCAATTGGCTTTGCGCTTGGCTCGGCTAGCCATGGCTTTTAGCTTTTTGAAACAGCTCTGGTCCAGAGAAAATTCCAGTTCAAAGAAAGATCCAGTTCAAAGCAGAATCGATTGCTCATTTTACTCTCTAAAGCTTTAAACTTTTTCATTTTCAGCCATACTAAC